CTTTTACATTCCACGTGGGTGACCATGTGATGTTGCTTTTATGACCTCTGACATCTTAAGCCCTACTAGGTTTAGCCTGTGGAAAGTGGAACCCCGCCTAAAACACAACGTTTGAAGTCAAAGACAAACTCCATCGTCTCTCTCCGATAATTGTTATGTAACCGAAAGTAGCCTCAAATTCTATTGGACTGCTTCCTTCACAAATTTTATATCCACCACACTTTACGCATGGAAGAATTCTTGGCCCCTTGCTTGCTGCAACAGTGACCATGCCCGTGCATGCAACCGTACAAATTAATCCCCTGTTTTCTCTTAAATTCTTCTATGAGCACTAAAGTATTGCATTATGTTAGGCTCTCTATGTCAGAACAATTGTATGTTGGAAAATTTGTTGATACAAGCGACAAAGGAGAGGGGGAATCGAATCTAAGATCTCATATGTAAAGGTAAATACATTTAATCACTTTAACTGCAAATCTCTTACACGTTGAAAAAAAATTAAAATTAAAAAATTCAAATATTTCTTATTTCTGTGAATTAGAAAGTTATACTAGTGGGTGTTTAACTCAATGGTAGAGGTGTTTGTTTGCAAACCCCATGGCACCAGTTTTTAATCTCCTTGTGTGCAACTCCCACCCCCTAGATTAATTGATCGCTCTATCTCAAAAAAGAAAGAAATAGAAAGTTAAAAAATTTCAATCTTACTATTTGCAAAACGTTTTTACAGTGTTGCATATATTGTCTTTGTGGTTGCAGAGTTGCATAGGTTATAATTCACTCACATCTCTTTGAAAAAGGTGTCCTATATATCATTTTGTCGGAGGAAATTTTTTTTAGAGTTAGTTAGTTTTTTTTTTTTTTGGTCGAACTTTTAGAGTTTGTTTTAGAAAGAATACTTTTGTTTATTTATTTCTTCTAGAATAAGTGTGCTTCAGTGAGAGAGTTCAAACACAGTGTGCGTTCATTATTCTCGTGGTTTGGAGTGCAACTATAAAAATGTCCTTGTATCCTGTAAGACGTAGGGCAATTTCGTTTTAAGGAGATAAAAACTAATTTCTAAACTTGACCGTATTTTGTTTTTTTAATATATTATTCAAATGATAATCTAAATAAATCTAATATGCGGGCAAAAATATATTCGAACTTGGGTGCAAGAGGGTGGGCTCACTGCTCTTACCAGCTGGCCTAACCCACATTTTCATTTTTTCATGAATTAAATTTTGATTTTTCTATAAATAAAGTAATTATAAAACAAATTCCAATATTATATCAAGGTAGAGTATGGTCACATGCTATAATTTGTCCACGTTTTTAATTTAGGTGGATATTTATTGAAATTATACCCTAAAACTAAGAAATAACATTGTTGTCCAGTCTTGTTATCACACATAAACGAGGTATATCATATTACTATATTTCAGTGCCATACAATAATTTCTCCTTTGTATCAATTGATTTCCAGTTTATGTTTTGACAACCTACGAAGGGTGCATGTGAGGTCTGCGCCCTAAAACCCATAAAAGAACACTAACTACCACAACCAAGAATGATAGTATGGGGATTATAGCTCAAGTGGTTAAGAGTATTTAGATGTGCACCCGAGGTCTCAAGTTCGATTTTCCCCTCTCCATTATCACTTGTATAAAAAATAAAAATAAAAATAAAAAAGTTATTAAAAAAAGAAGAAGATAGCATTGGGCCTTGTTACCCTTAAAGTACCATCTATCATAAAAGTTAGGTATGGACTCAAGATTTCAAAATGGAATGAGCTAAATTCACCTTACGTGAAGGAGTTACGTGTGAAGTAGTATTATGGGTAGACTTGGGTGGGTTGTATTCGAAATTTTGGACTAAAAAAAAACCCCCTCACCTGTGCTATCCCCGATTAATTAGTTTTTACTAAAGATCGTCCCTGATAAAATGTTCGATTTAGTAGGAGCAGTGACGGACCCAGGATCCGAACTCCGTAGATTCATAGTGTAAATGTTCGAAAGAAATTTTAAAAATGGGTTATTTTTCTTATCTATTTTTTCTTTTCCAAATTTTATTCCTTTATTAGAAAAATATACTTTGAATGATTTCAATTTGTCATTTTTTTAAATGTATTTTTTGAGTGTTTCAATTCATAAAATTTCAAACCAAATCTATGCCAATTAACCAAAAAACGAAAAAACCACAACTGCCTAATCAACAAAAATAAGCAAAAACTTCATCCAACAAATCAATCTAATACATATAAATCATAAATTTCATCCAATCAATTATAAATTTGATTTCCATTAAATTAAAACCAGTATACATGCATTTTGTTCTAATTACAATGAAGAAAAACAAGTTATTATTTTTTTTTGGTGTGGAGAAATTCTTAAGTGTTAAATAGTGGTGATAAAACCATATTGTGGTCATCCTTAGATAAAATTACAAGTAAAGTTCATCATTCATGGATTCTAATTTCTAAGCCAGTCATTAGAATTTGAGAGGAAGAAATAATAATAAATAAAATAAAGTTGACTTGTTGATTCCTACAACAAAACAGGTTAAAAAGATTAAAAAGAAAACAGTGTTATAAACTAAATAGATTGAGATTGAGAAACTGAAAGATTGAGAGAATTGAAAGGGAGAGAAATCCTAGTTAGGGAGTTTTATTCAGATTGATCAATCATTACAATGAAGATGATACAAGGAAGATGAGGCCTCCCTTTTTTTTTTTTGATGAACAGAGGCCTCCCTTTATAGAAGGGAGGAAACGTGCTCATTAGGTATTGTACAGGGAAAAGGAAAAACATGTGGGCTCCACATGCATATATTTACAACAAACATTTTAATGTTGGAGAATGGAGGGATACGGAAGGGTTTTTAATTTTAAAAATTTTCCTGGGTCAAAACAACGTCGTTTTGCCCAGGTGTTTTCAAAAAAAAAAAAACCGTACAAATTAATCCCCTGTTTTCTCTTAAATTCTTCTATTCAAATGGAGCACTAAAGTATTGCATTATGTTAGGCTCTCCATGTCAGAACAATTGTATGTTGGAAAATTTGTTGATACAAGCGATAAAGGGGCGGGAGAATCGAATCTAAGATCTCAGATGTAAAGGTAAATACATTTAATCATTTTAACTGCAAATCTCTTACACGTTGAAAAAAATTTAAAATTTAAAAATTCAAATATATCTTATTTCTGTGAATTAGAAAGTTATACTAGTGGGTGTTTAACTCAATGGTAGAGGTGTTTGTTTGCAAACCCCATGGCACCAGTTTTTAATCTCCTTGTGTGCAACTCCCACCCCCTAGATTAATTGATCGCTCTATCTCAAAAAAGAAAGAAATAGAAAGTTAAAAAATTTCAATCTTACTATTTGCAAAACGTTTTTACAGTGTTGCATATATTGTCTTTGTGGTTGCAGAGTTGCATAGGTTATAATTCACTCACATCTCTTTGAAAAAGGTGTCCTATATATCATTTTGTCGGAGGAAATTTTTTTTAGAGTTAGTTAGTTTTTTTTTTTTTGGGTCGAACTTTTAGAGTTTGTTTTAGAAAGAATACTTTTGTTTATTTATTTCTTCTAGAATAAGTGTGCTTCATTGAGAGAGTTCAAACACAGTGTGCGTTCATTATTCTTGTGGTTTGGAGTGCAATTATAAAAACGTCATTGTATCCTGTAAGACGTAGGGCAATTTCGTTTTAAGGAGATAAAAACTAATTTCTAGACTTGACCGTATTTTGTTTTTTAATATATTATTCAAGTGATAATCTAAATAAATCTAATATGCGGGCAAAAATATATTCAAACTTGGGTGCAAGAGGGTGGGCTCACTGCTCTTACCAGCTAGCCTAACCCACATTTTCATTTTTTCATGAATTAAATTTTGATTTTTCTATAAATAAAGTAATTATAAAACAAATTTCAATATTATATTAAGGTAGAGTATGGTCACGTGCTATAATTTGTCCACGTTTTTAATTTAGGTGGTTATTTATTGAAATTATACCCTAAAACTAAGAAATAACATTGTTGTCCAGTCTTGTTATCACACATAAACGAGGTATATCATATTACTATATTTCCGTGCCATACAATAATTTCTCCTTTGTATCAATTGATTTCCAGTTTATGTTTTGACAACCTACGAAGTGTGCATGTGAGGTCTGCGCCCTAAAACCCATAAAAGAACACTAACTACCACAACCAAGAATGATAGTATTGGGATTATAGCTCAAATGGTTAAGAGCATTTAGATGTGCACACAAGGTCTCAAGTTCGATTTTCCCCTCTCCATTATCACTTGTATAAAAAATAAAAATAAAAATAAAAAAGTTATTAAAAAAGAAGAAGATAGCATTGGGCCTTGTTACCCTTAAAGTACCATCTATCATAAAAGTCAGGTATGGACTCAAGATTTCAAAATGGAATGAGCTAAATTCACCTTACGTGAAGGAGTTACGTGTAAAGTAGTCAAACGCTGGGAGGGCAATTCAAGGGGTCACACAGCCAGCTCAAGTGGACTTCCAACCCTATTTTCATGGCTTCCATAGGGTCGTTTGACCCCAGTGACCCCACTGTGGGTCCGTCCCTGAGTAGGAGGATTAGATGCTCAAATACCATTAAAACTGACACTTCATGTGTCCGTTTCAATAACCACATGTTGGCAAAATAAGTTCCTAATGTAGCCTTTTTATTCAATAATATATTAAATGTGTATCAAACGTGGAGGATATGGCACGCGTATGATACGTACATTTAAGAAAACTTGTCATTTACAATATATTTGTAAAAAAATATTTAAATATATATATATATTCATACATGTATAATACGAATATTTAATATGTTCGTACATGTATGTATAATACGAATATCATAACTAGATTTCGATTAAATTATTTCAAAGGATGACATTGTGAATTTCCTTTTGCAATTCCAAACCACACACATGCAAATTATTTAACACTGCAGAAGGTCCCAGAATCCAGTACTTGTGCGCAGATTGAAAACATTAGACAGCAATCGAACGGTTCAGATTCATTAAAAACCCATTGGGCCCACAATCTTACATAGCATTAGTGAAGCAAAGAACACACGCTCTCTCTCCTTTTGGAGAGGGCTACATCTCATCAGTAGTGCACATCTACAAACAAAACCAGTTGAACAGTACAACGTAGGAAAAGAGAAAAAGAAAAAAAAGAGAAAGAAAAAAGAAAGAGCATTGGATGCCATTATAATTAGTGCAATCCAACGGCTACTTTTGGGTCATGGGGACAAGCCCTGTTCTGTGGGACTAGAAAGTGCTTAGTTAAAAAAAGTGCTTCTACATCTTGACCTCTTTGTCAAAGACCACACCTCTGCAAAAGTGCTGTTGCCATTAGTTAGCTAGGAGTGGAAATTTAGGCGAGAAGTGTAAGTGGCTTTTGGAGACCAATTGCTTGGAATCACATCTCTGGCAGAGAGAGTTTTTGCTGTTGAGAGCCTTCACTGAGAAGGGCCCGTTTAAGGGTCCTCCATTTATGCACCAATTTGCACCCCATACATGGTTCATCTGTATCCACTCACTAGAACTTGCCTGCCACATAAAATTTTAATTTCGTAAACAAACATTATAAATAAGTAAGGAAATTATACTTCCTCAATTTATTTCAAGGGAAACCATCTTTGCCTTTTTGTTGATTTGTCATGCATAGAATATATTGATATGAATCTTTTGATTTATGGAAAGTAAGAGAGAAGAATATTGTATGTCTACTTTATCATCAACAAATCTTAGATCTAGTAAAAGTTTGTTGATCAACCTGGTTGGACGAGAACTCAAATTCGACTGACATGGATGCGAGAATAATGTATATATGCGACAGAGTTCGAGACCTAGTTGTGACTAGTCCTATTAGGTACAATAATGTAGTTCAAAGGAATAAAAAAGATTTAAAAGAACAGTGTCACTGTGGACATAAAGGTTCATCTTAAAAGAAAGTTATTGGTAGAAAATGATAATCGGAAAAGAAAAAGGACGGAAATGCTTTTCTCAGTTTCTTTCAAGTCTTGGCGTGACATATAATTTTTCCGCAAAATGGACAAAATTGCCCTTATTTATTTTTGGATTTCCTAAGGAATCCTTTACATTTGCATGTCTTTGATTTGAAAGTTGAGAGGTTTTTTTGTCTTTTTTGAAAAAGCTTTGGCTTTTTCCAAAAGTAAAATTTTTTTTTTGGCTAAAACCTAAATTTATTAAAATGATAATCGGAGAAGAAAAAGGACGGAAATGCTTTTCTCAGTTTCTTTCAAGTCTTGGCGTGACATATAATTTTTCCGTTGACAATAATTATTTAACGTGAAGCACAATTCATAAAATTCACTAATGACAATCATCAACAAAATTCATGGTAGTAAAAATAAAACATAACAACATATATAAAAAGGAGGAGGAGAAATATATAGATATACGTACTGGTCTTATATGCATTGATCCAACGTCTCCATCTCCACCCTCAAACTCGACCAGAAGGGATAGCCAAAAATTCGTTGAGCCTTCATTTACATGGAAGGCCACCTGCCTCCCTGGATATTTACATGGTGTCCTGTCAATACAAACAAATCCAAATTTACAGCGCCCTAATTGTGCTTTTTATGAAGATTTGTTAAAAAAAAAAGGAGCCAAAAAAGAAACCGAAAAGGACAAAAGAGGACCGTTAAAGCAAACAAGAAGAGCTAGCAGAGAGAGAGAGAGAGAAAGAGACACACACAACACAGCACACACAGTATACCACACAACAGAAAACAAAGAGAAGATATC